CCAGTGTTTAACCCCCCTCATAGTGGAAAAAAAAAAGTGCATTCTTGTGTTCAGATGGAATTTCATATGTTCCAGGTTTTGTCCATTGCCTCTTGTTCTGTTGGTGGGTACCACTGGAAAGAGCCTGGTTCTGTCTTCTTTGTTCCCTCCCATCAGGTATTTATACCCAGTGATGAAAACCTCCCTGAGTCTTTTCTTCTCCAAGCTGAACAGTCACAGTTTTCTCAGCCACTTCTCATAGGATAGACATTCCAGTCCCTTAATAATCTTTTGCAGCCCTTTGTTGCACTCTCTCTGGTATGTCCATGTCTCTTGTACTTGGAAGCCCAGAAATGAACAAGTACTCCAGGTGTTGTCTCACAAACACTTGAGTAGAGGGGGAAGATAACATCCATGTGCTGGCAACACTTCTGATGCGCAACCCAGAAGGCTGTTGGTCGTTGCCAACATGAAGTTGCTTTGCTGACTCATTCTCTACCAAGCTCCTTTCCAGCTGGATGTCCCTAGCCTGTCTTAGGGCGTGGTGGTTAGTCCCCCTCAGATGCAGGACTTGTTGAACTTCCTAAGTTTCCCCCCTGCCTGTTTTCTCATGCACTCTGAGTGGCAGCACAACCATTGTGTACACAGGCACTTCTCCTTACTTTCTTGTCATCTGCAAGTCTATTGAGGCCACAGTCTGTCCAAGCATCCAGATCATTAATGGAGATGTATATGAGTACTGGACCGAGTATGGACTTTTAGGGGACACCACTGGCTACTATTTGCCAACTAGATGTCACACAAGTAATCAGAATCCTCTGAGCTCAGTTGTTCAGCCTATTTTCAACCCACTTCATTGTCTAAGTGTATGTTATATACATATATATTTATGTTATGTACATATATATCTGTGTAGTATATCTTCCAGCCTATACTTTATCAACTTCCCTGAAACCTTTAGGGAGACTGTGAACTGTCTTCCTAATGTCAAGGGAAACAATACCCACTGCTCTTCCCTCTTCTACCAAGCCAGCAATTTTGTCCTAGAAGGGTATTGTGTTGATTAGGCACAATTTCCCCTTGGTAAATCCATGCTAACTATTCTGAGTCATCTTCTTGTCCTTCATATGTTTGGAAATAATCTCCAGAACTTTTCTCCTGTTCCTTTGCCAGAGCTTGATGTGAGGCTGACTGATCTGTAGTTCCCTACATCTTACTTCTTGAAGATAGGAATGACTTATATAATATATATAAATATAATGGAGAGTGACCTCACAATGACATCAGCCAGATCTCAGTATTTGTGGATGCAAACCATGAGACCCCATGGATTTATATATGTAGTTTTTTTAACTTGGTCTTCCTCCACCAAGGGTGTGTCTTCCTTGCTCCAGACCCCTTTGAAATGTTCTGCTAGGATTTTGTAGGATGAAATCTCTCTCTTCTGTGGACTACATTCAGACCATTCTCTTCCCTCTGAGTATGGATCCATGTACTGCCATGGCTGCATGGCCCCTGTCTGCTTCATGAACAATTAAATACATTGATCAATTTTGACTGTCCTATTATTTTTTATTTATTTGGCTGGCACTGTGATGTTCATTTTTTGAGTCTTAACTAGTTAGATATGCAAAAATAAGTAATCTCCTTTCCTAGATGATTCGCTGGGGGTGATAAAGTTGCAGACACTGGGACAACAGGTGTGCAATCTTTCCCTGAGATAGCAGTAGAGTGATTCCTGTATTTCAGTCCAAGTATGATGTTGTTTTACCTAGCAGGGAATTATTTCTGATAGCTGCTTCTGAACAGATTATGCTGGACTATTCAAGGAAAGCACAATAAATTACGTTCCCATTTTTGTGTCCTTGCCCAGGGTTTGAATTAAGTTACAATGCATTGGCAGGTAGTAAAATGCTGTCTGAGGCAAAAGTATGTTACATCCACACAAGCTGTGGAAACATGTCTGTTCTCAGTGTTCAGTGGGAAGTTCCTGGAAGAAATACAGTGCTTAAATGCAGCTCCTCTGGGGCAACCTTTGGAGTGAGGATGCTGCTGTTTTTGAATGAGGCCAGAAAAAACAAAGAAAGCATTTCTTAGTTAAGGGAAATGTGATAACTACAGTTTCATTTCTTCACTGAAAAAATGCATAAAGTTGGCAACTGGGAGCTCTTTCAGGTGGTCAGTGCTAATTAAACAATCCCCCTGTGTTTTCTGTGTAACAGCTAAGTGTGTCAGCTTTGTCTGGTAGATTTTGCAAACCCTTAAACAAACAAAATACCAAACCTTAGGTTTTTGAAACTAACTCTACAAAGTTTTTGTCTTACTCCATTCAGCAAGAATTTCTTATGACAGAAATCAGATTATCTTGCTTGCTTCTTTGTGCATGATGAACTTGGCAAAAATCATCATGCGAAAATGAGCACAGTCATCCTGAGAAAATTACTGATGTCTCTAGTAGAGGATGTCTATGAGCTTGTAATTAACTGGTCCAAAGGGAAAGAACATGGAGAAGGTGCAGAGCATAGCAATAAAAATACACTGATACCCTCTGTGTAGTATAACCACAAATAAACAGTAAGTCAGATTATAAATGGCATTTTGCAGTTCTCAGGCAGTGTCCTGAGATAACCCAAGTCTTCTGCTCCTGGTTGTGTAAGACCTTTGCCCTGTCTGTCTCACAGAGAGAGATGAAATCTCTGTGATAGATTTGTCATTCACAGATGAAATCAGAGATGGTTTCAGAGATGGTTCTTCACTACACTGTGAAGAACTTGTTACTTCCTTGATCTCAATTTTAGAGGACATTTGAATAGTTAAGGAGAATAGCTTAATGTTCTTATACTGCTAAAGCTATTGTTAAATTGCTATTTGTGAAAAGACCCATAAAGGCCTATGGAAGGCTGGAAATTTGTGCTGGTTATCATATGAGCTAGGATGGTGGCTCCAAAATGTTTGTGTGTGTGTTTTTTGTGGGTATTGGGGCAGTTTTGTTTGTTTGTTTGTTTCTGAATTTGGGTAGGTTATGGATCCTAGAAATGTGGTTTCATACTTTCACTCTTTCTGTGCCTTATTTCTGCATTGCACAGGCAATGTTTCAGATGGTATCTTATGGATGCATGCCTGGTGGGTCATCCCCCCTTTTTGGGAGATGATAAGAAGCTGTCATAAATGTTGTGGGTTGCCTCTTCTGTTTCCATTGATGAGTCTTTGCTTCTAAGTGCCTGTACACTAATGTGCACAACATGGGGAATACGTACAAGAAGTTAAAGATCCGTGTGCAGTTGCAGGGCTGTGATCTTGCTGGGATCATGGAGATGTGGAGGGATAGTTCACATGACTGAGATGCTGCAATGGATGGATATATGGCCTTTAGGAAGGACAGACTTGGAAGAAAAGGAGATGGACTTTCCTTCCATATGAGAGGAGAGCTGTAGTGCTTGGAGTTCTGCCTGGGTATGGATGATGAACCAAGAGCTTATGGATAAGGATTAAAGAGCATATCAGTATGGGTGACTTTGTAGTAGCTGTATAGTATAGGCCATCTGATCAGCAAAAACAAGTAGATGAGGCCTTGATAGCTAGAAGTAACTTCTCATTCACAGGTCCTGATGCTTATGCTGTACTTTACCATCCCGAGGTCTGCTGGAGGCTCATCACAGCAGGTTATAAGCAATCCAGGAGGTGCCTGACACAGGGTATAGAGAAACCAGCAAGGAGAGGTGCTCTCATGGACTTCAGACAAGCAAAGCAGGGCTGGTTGTGGTATGAAGGTCAAAGGCAGCCTTGGCTGCAGTGTCCATGAGATAATGGAGTTCAGGATCCTAAGAGCAGGCCAAAAAGCAAGATCACAGCACTGGACTTCAGGAGAGAAGACTTTGACCTCTTCAGAGATCTGCTTGATAAAAGTCCTGTGGGATAAAGCCCTGAAAGAGAGAGCAGGATCCAAAGAAAGTTTTTTTAGTATTCTGGCTTAGTTTAACCCCAGATGGTAACTACATACTGTACCAATGCACACTCACTCCCCCTCCCACCCCTCAGTCATACAAGGAGGAGAAAAAAGTACAAAAACTCATGGGTTCAGATAAGAACAATTTAATAGGTGAAGAGAAGTATTATAATAATAATTATGATAATAATAATAATAATAATAAATAAAACCCAAGAAAAATAAGTGATGCAATTGCTCACCACCTGCTGAAGAATGCCCAGCCCATCCCTGGCAGTGATCACTCCCTTCCAGTCAATTCCCCCAGTTTGTGTACTGAACATGGTAGGGAATATCTGTTTGGCCAGTTTGGGTCAGCTGTTCTGGCTGTGCTTCCTCCCAGCTTCTTGTGCAGATCCTCACTGGCAGAGCATGAGACACTAGAAAGTCTTTGACTTAGGGTAAGCACTACTTAGCAACATCCAGAACATTAGTGTGTTATCAACATTATTCTCATATAAAATCCAAAACACAGCACTGCACCAGCTACTGAGAAGGAAACAACCTCTATTCCAGCTGAAACCAGGACACTGGGAGCATTGGATCTAAGTCACTCTTACATCTTTTTAGCACAGTAGAAAGTACTTTCCTGATGATGAAGGTGAAGAAGCACTTTTATTCATGAATGGTTTAAGAAAAGTTTTTGTCTGGATGTTTTGTGTAAAGAAAGGCATTTGATTTGGCACTTCTGGCAACTCCTGCTCCAAATAGAAAGGAGATACAAAGCTCCTCCTTGATGGGAGCAGCCCTGGGTTTTGATTCAGTGAAGAATGTGATAGTTTAAAAGATGCAGCATTCCAAGGATATTTCTAAAGACCACAACAAAGATTGTGTCCAGTGGTCTGATTATCTTTTTCATTTGCTTTCAATAATGCTGTCTTCAAGTTGAGTTTACTTTCTTGCTAGTTCTGATCAAAGCATTTTCATGATAAATTGATTTATTTTCATTTCTGTCTACCAATCCAAATAACAAAAAGTATTGCTGATACATGTATAATTTTTTTAATATTTTTTTTTCTGTTTGCCTCTCCAACAGGCCATCTGTGAAAAAGAAAAAAGAGAAAAAAATGAAGTGCTTATTCCTAGTATTTCTCATGAATTTATTATCACAGTGTGCTGGGAAACCTTTAAGAAGAGATGGCAGTTACCCGAAATCATTTGAAGACATTAAAAATGAGATAGCTGGCTATACTGATATTGCTAAGGCTATTATTGATCTTGCTGTTCATGGAAAGGCTCAGAACAGATCCTATGAAAGATTAGCAGTTTTTGCTGATACCATAGGACCTAGACTCAGTGGCTCAAAAAACCTAGATGCAGCCATCAAATATATGTTCAGTGCCCTGCAGAAAGATGGGCTGGAAAATGTGCATCTGGAGCCTGTGAAAGTACCACACTGGGAAAGAGGAGAAGAGTTTGCAATGATGCTGGAACCAAGGAATCAGAGCATTGCTATTTTGGGACTTGGGAACAGTGTTGCAACTCCTCCAGAAGGTAATTCTTCCTTTTGGAATTATATATCACTTGCTTTCTAACACCAAACTGTATTACACCCCTTGTGGTTTTCTTCCTGCTGTAACAGTTCTGCAAAACAAGATGCTGTTTTTCTGGGGGATTTTTTTGAATGTCATGGTTGTGAATGATGCAGTTTGTATTTATGAACTGGCTTGTAGAATTAGAATTGATTCCTGAACTCACTCTCCATTACGTCTATACCCTTTTGTTTAACACTGCTGAACCACGTGGTCCTCCACTGTGGTTGATAGGAAAGAAGTTTTCTGTGGGGTGTTGAGTTGACATGTGATTTCTTCTTTTCTTGCCATGCCCTGTCTTGCCAAGCTCAGCCCTTCACTTGGGTAAGAAACAAGACAGCAGGAAAAGGAGGAGTATCTTGTGCTGAGCTTGGGAAGTTCCAGCTCCTTGCTATGTATGGCCGTTGGTATCTCTGTGTCCTTTCCTTCCATTCACCCTCTCATGCTCACCTTGGAAAGTCTTTGTCATTTACCTGTTGTTGAACTGTGTGTTGCCTTTTAGTTGATAATGTATGATATGTTACTTGAGGAACAAGAATGACCATTAGCTGGGCTCAACAAAATTCTGGTCTTTTGAGCCCCCAAAAATTAGCTTGCCTACCAACAAAATGATTTATAAGGCTCTCTTTTTGTACATACTGATGTGGGGCTTTCTCAGGATTTTTATTTAAAGGCCAGATGATAACCTTCTTCTATGACTTCTTTCCGTAAAAAACACCAAACTTATTCCTAGACCACTTCAAAAGCATTCATATTCCTTTAGGAGAAAATAAATTTAGTTTAGGAAATAAAAGATAACATGATGCTCATAATTTTTTTACGAATTGTAAATTTTTGTGATAGTGAGCTTTCTGTTTGAAATGAAACAATATATAAAAGCTGTTTTGTTTAGAAAAATTATATAGCTCTTCAAAATGCAAGTACAACTGGATAATTTAAGACACGTTTCAAATAAATCATATGTGGTTTGCAAAATTGCTACTGTAAATTTTGTCTGAGGTACTCATGTTATATTGAGGTAAAGACATGCCTAAAATGCAAAACAACTAAAACCATTAATAATATCTGTTTGTACCATGATATGTGTAAGGTTTAGTGCTTTGATAGGAGAATATTTACAGCAAAGTTTAAGCCTACAACTTATTTTGTATCTTTTCCAGTCCTATTACAAGCTTCCCAAAAAGGAAACTAAAATTAAAAAGACATTTTTGGTGTTGAGCAAGTGTTACTGAACCTTCCAAGATAACCTGCAATTTAATCTTGGCAAACATCTTCACATCCCAAGAAGTCTGTTTTTTGTTTCTCTTTCTTAGCCATGTAGTTATTTGCACTTGCCTGGTTTTACTCCTAGGTTTGCCTTTTTTCTTTTAGAGAGATACTGAATTTACATGTTAAAAATGCTCACAGAGGCTCATCGTGTCCTACTTTTTCATCTCTAAGGTTCTTATATTGGCAACTGAATGGTCAGGCTAGTACTTGTGGCTGGTAATGCCTTGAAAGATAAGATTCTGTTATCCAGTGCTGGTTTATACTGAGTATTGTTTAAAAAGCCCACATTTATTCTTTCTGACATTTTTACTTTCCTCTGAGATCTACCATGTTTCTGAAGAGATGTACATGTTGGTGCTAGAAGACTTCATGGCAGTGAGATCTCTCATGAAAGAGAGGGCAGTTTCTCACACTTGGAATAATTTTGATTCAATTACTTCTGATTTCTGACTATCCTGTTTGTGGCTGTTATGATTTCTGCTGGTCTCATCTTGTTCTGTGCAGGCTGGGACAGGTTTTTGTGCTTGAGAAGGTTATGTGGGGTAGCTGGTGCCTGGTGAGCTCTTGGTTCTTGTTCTTCCAATTTCTGGGCTGTCCGCCTGGCTGATGGAAATTTCTGGTGAGAACTGCTCATCACCAGTCTCTCTGGGCAGCAGCACTGGAGGGTGTGCTGCTCAGAAAAGTGCCTGTCCTAAAACTCTCACTCATCCCAAGCATGGAATAAAAAATGTGTAGTTGCACATTAAAACCACTGCCTTATCACTTCTGAGATATTTATTCCCAGAAATGCTTCCTCTGCTCTAACCAGTGATTATCACTGTGCCTTATTCCTGAGAAAAAGGGATAGAAGGCCGCCCTAAATACCATCAGAAATATTGGAACAATTTCCCTCAGTGAGAGTCTATCAGCAGTTCTGATATGTCTTGTTTTAGCCAAGAAGCTGCAGGAATGTGAGTGTTCCGGTAATCAAAATAGTGCAACTTAACTCCTGTTGCTGCATGAGATCAAACTGGGGAGATCTGCTGCTGTGCTGAGCTTTGGCAGAGGGATATGTTAAAGGCCAAGGACTGTCCATCAGATGTTGGCTCTGTGATGGTTCCTGGGTTCCTTCACAGCTGCCTCTAAAGTGGACTATGCAGATCATCCCTGAAGTTGTTTAGTATTAACCTGATACTTATTGCATATTTTAAATCAGTGTTCCTATCAAGATATGTTTCAGACCCCTCAGTTTACAAACCACTTACTCTGTATAGTCCAAACAGATCCCTTCTGTGACATTACTGATGCCTACTTAGCACCAGAGGACAGCACTGGCTGGACTTCTTGTCTTTTAAGGTGGAGGGGTGGGGTTAAGATGAGAGAGGATGACTCCCCCATCCCAGCAGGAGGTACAGGAGACCATTTCTGGTTTTCTCATTTTCTCAGTTATGTCCTGTATTCCTCCCTTCCCATGATTTTTACCCAGGCTTGTGACCTGATAAGCTGAGAAAACCATATTGGCAGAAACTTAAAACTTGCTGCTGGACTTGGTGGTCCTTGGTGCCCTCAGCTCCTCCTGGAGCTCAACAGAGCCCTTCAGAACTAATGCTCTGAGGGGCTTTTCATTATCATGGCAATAGCCTAATAGCAATTTAGAAACCTGGTTTTGGATGCTTGAAATTCAGGGTTTATTTTCCCTTCTGTCCCTGGAAATTCAAACCAGTGTTTCCTGAGAGTGACCCAATGGCCAGAGCGCATGCTGGAGTTGCTTACTTTCCATTTCTGCATACACCATGTGAGTGTGGAAAAAAATCTGCAATCCTTCAGTGCAGGAATAGGAAGACCTAAATAGTATCAGTATTTTAGCCTTGAAGTCCAAGCCAGAACTGACTTCATTATACCAGGAGCGTCTCTTCCCGCAGGTCTTCTATCTCACCCATTCCTATGGGGTTGAAAGCCTATTGGGATGTGGGCAGAGCTTTCCTCATTTATTTGATTTTATGAGGTTTTCCCACTTTAGCTCAGATATGAAGCAGTTGGATGATATGCAGAAAGCTTTTCAGTACCTTGTGATCTTGTGGATAAAGTTCTACTTTCTTCTTCATGACTGGGCAACATGCCAGGATGTCAAGTTTCCAGATTCCATCTGATTTACAGCAAAAAAAGGACAGTACAGCAAAGGTTAGATTTCCTATTGAAGAGGAAAACTCCCCAACATTCTCCCTCTCAGTGTATTCCCAGATATGAAGGTGTTGGGTCAAAAATAAAGTTTTCAGTTACTTTGATCTCCTTACAATGAGGGAGTAACTTTACTGCCTGTCTTAGTGACAGGGAGAGAAGAAAAATGAAACACAGAGTGACCTGGATTTCCAGAAGTCAGCAGACTGAAAATGGTCACCACCTCGAAGAAATGGATTCCTAGGTAACAAACAGTATTGAATGTTAGAAAGTGCTGGGTGCTGGCAAACTGGAGATTTACCATATTTAGTCAGTGTCCTTGTCTCATTTGTTCCAACACTGGCAAAACATAAAGATATATATAGAGAGACTGTGTTGATTTCTGGTAGTACTGATTATATCCCCCAAATTCTGAGGAAAATAGATATAATTGTTGCTTTGAGAATCCCATAATTGAAGGAAAGCAGTAGTTTAGCAGATGTTTGACCATAAAGTATCAAAGAATTCATATTTTTTGCATGTGTTTTAAAATGCACTTTTTTTACCCTGATGAGTGACTCTGCCCTTTAATTTTAAAGAAATACTGACAAGCAGAACCAACTCCTGAATGCAGCCTGCCTGAAATGTCTCCTTGAAAAAGGAGCAGTCTCTGGTTTTTTTGTACTGTTTGTTGCAACAAAAGTGAAATAACATAAATATGAAGATGATATATTGGCAGACTTTTTCCTAGTTTTTATGTTCAAGTCATGGGTTTTTTTGTTTAACTGTCAACATTTGGTCCAATTGTGCTCTTATGGAAGGTGATAGAAGTTTTGCACTTAGATAATATGAAAATAGTTCCAACCTGTTATGTATAAAGTAGGGATAATACATGTCTTGAAGTTGCTGAAGGTGTGTGCTGTTGCTGTAGGCTCACCATTATATTAAGCCAGGGCTGCTGCTGAAAGAAGCAGTCTGGCCCCAGTCTTGGCCAATCTGTTTTCCCCCTGGTGTTGACCCTCCTCTTTTTTTTTCTCAGTGGTGAAGTGGATTAGGAAATTCAACTAGATAAACAAAAGCCCAACAAAAGAAAAGTTAACTTTAATGTGTATCAGAGGATTTACCTTTGAGTTGCCAACATCTTGGGTGGTCACTGACCTACTGGAAGAAAAGACTGTCATTCTGGAGACACTTGAGTACCCCTTTGTCATGTGAAGGGTGGGAGTTCAGATTTTTGCTCATCAGTCCCCCAGGAAAGTTGAGACCTTGGTGTCTGATAGTCTGTCAGTGTCTCGTAAGGAGACCCTTCACCAACGGCTTAGCAAGATCAGAGGGTACTTTGACCTCCCTTGTTAGGGGGAACTCCACAGAGCCAGGACCCCTCAATGGGTCCTGCCAAGGTGTTATCTGCCACCAGCAACTGCAAGGACTCACTTTAACAGTTTATGGAATAACACTTTTTATTAATACAAATTGTGGCAGATTAATAAGGTTTGAAGGTTGTTGGTGATAGTGTCTACTGCAAAAATATGTTTTAAAGCAATGTACTGATACGTG